TGCAAAAAAGAGCAGGGAGCACTTACCAGGGATCCTTAGAAGGATGAACGACGCGTCTGCAGCCCTTGCCGGGCGAGATAAGTGCTGATAAGCCCGTAACGTAATCCAGAATCACATACACGGGGTACCAAGGGAGCACTCACCGGGATCCATAGCGGATGAAAAACGTGTGGTGAGCGCTGAACGATGAGAAACAACGTGGAGTCCGAAGGTAGTCACACGGGGCACCAAATGTCGAGAATCCAGCTCGACATCAGTAGGAAGATCAGTAAGAAATAAGTCTCACACCAAGATGACTTGAAGAAAAAGCTTTGGCTTCAGCCGTGCAATGTTTATTGTGTGCAGTAAAAAATAAATCATCCTCCCTCCTCCAGCACTGCGCTTGCTCTGCCTGGTACTCAAAAGTAACAAATCAAAAGAATGTAACCTTGCTTTTGCCCACAGACAAAGAGAGTCTTATGCTACGTGAGCCAATCATTAGTCTAGCATGAGGTGTTCACGTGCTCATCATGCTCTTAGCAATATCTCGTGCTGTAAAATCACTCTGCAATAATAAGAACTCTGCTCATGCTCTTATGTACAAGCAATCATTTTCCCACAGAGCGCTGCAACCCCAGCGTCGGTCACGACTGGACCTAATGGTCAGGGGTCCCTTTACCTTTACCTAAGCTGCCACAAGGATCTTTGTTGCTTTTGCGGCAAAAAAATAATTTCCCTGACTTCACTATTTACAATTCCTCCACTAATATGTATATATGTGAGCAATTTAGGACATCATGCATTTGATAACGTGGACTCTAGTCCACAAAAGCTTACATCACTATAAACGATCTGGCCTTTAAGGTGACATGAGACATTTTGTTGTTTACCCTTTTTGTTTGCATGGGATAATTTCCAGCTTTGAAGGCACATCAGTTGTACAGCCTAAGCAACATATTAGATGCAACAATGCAGTGGAATTTAACCAAGGGCTTGCCGATCAGAAGGTCGGAGGTTCGAATCCCTGCAACAGGGTGAGCTCCTGTTGCTCGGTCCCAGCTCCTGCCAACCTAGCAGTTCAAAAGCACAAAGTGCAAGTAGATAAATAGGTACCGCTCCGGCGGGAAGGTAAACGGTGTTTCCGCGTGCTGCTCTGGTTCGCCAGAAGCGGCTTAGTCATGCGGGCCACATGACCTGGAATCTGTACGCCGGCTCCTTTGGCCAAAAAAGCAAGATGAGCACTGCAACCCCAGAGTTGTCCGCGACTGGACCTAATGGTCAGGGGTCCCTTTACCTTTACCTTTAATCATACCAGAGTAGAATTCAGATGTTAATAGAAAAAAACATTTAAGATACGTAGGAAACCATAAAAACACAAACATGAGCCTCTAAGAGAACATTTCAAAATGTTATAATGCTAACTGTATTTTTGCCAGGCTGGTATAAAACAAAAGGGTGTTGTGTAGTTTAAGGGTTGTCGCCAACTAAATCGACTCAAATCTACTTTCTGAAGAAGTGTGCATGCACACGAAAGCTTATACCAAGAACAAACTTAGTTGGTCTCTAAGGTGCTACTGGACAATTTATTTATTTTTTTATATATTAAATTTACTCAAAGTAGACCCATTGACTCATACACTGGGCTCCCTTTTTATGGACTCTCTTTTATTTGGTGGTTCAAAGGGTTGCAAATACACTGGATTCGCAAGTTGCCTCCACCTAATATAACAAGAGACAGAGGAAATTCAAAAGCAGTTGAATAATACCTTTTATAGATAAACTACATGACATTATACAGGACATATTTTCAGGACAGCATGCTTACCGTGGGGCATACCAGAGTTATGTGCAAACCAGCACTCCTTGTTTGTTCCCCCCTAAACAAACCATGAGTACATAGCACATAGACAGTCTTAGTTTCTTTCTTTCTGGGAGTGTTGAAGGAAGAGGTGAAGTGCATAAATTTATTTTATTAAATTTCTATCTCGCTCTTCTTTCCAAAGGAGCCCATGGTGCATCTAGAGTCTAGAGATTGGGTTTTTTTTATAGCATTGCACACTCAGTGTTCTGCCGCTTTAAGTTACATAACTATGATAGGCATATGCCAATATTCTTATGTAATGTCAACGCTTACTCACTTTATACAGGGTAAGGAGTGGCAATTCTACAGTAAAGTCAGTAAGTACCTATAGTTTATTTTGAACTATGGTTTTAAGTTACAGTGGTACCTTGGTTTACAACCATGATCCATTCCAGAGGTCTGGTTGTAAACCAAAACAGGTTGTAACCCAAGGCGTGCTTTCGCCAATGGGGCCTCCCCCCCGTTAAGTTGTGGGTGAACATATCAGACGACACAGCGATTCTTCAAACAGCTCTTGTTTATTCACAGGCCAGAACAGAACTGAACTGAAGGGTTCAGCCAGCCTGCTTATACAGAGCTCCACTACAACACAACTGTAACGACTTTCTTTAACTATCCAATCACTGAACGTCACTTTCAATCCCTTATTTGCATATCTACAGTGAAAACTATCTACAGTATCCCCCTGCTGGCCCAGGGTGAGAGCTTCAGTACATAACACCCCCCCAAGGGCTTGTAATCCAAAAAAAGGGACACGCACTTCCGGGTTTGACGTGGTTTGTAATCCAAAACGGTTGCAAACCAAGGTACCACTGTATATGCAAAAATTAGACCACTGAATTGAGCAAGTGTTTGAGTTCACCAGAGTTATTTTCCTGCTGCACATTAAATAAAAGTGTGGAGGAGAAGAAAAGTGTCTGCTGTTTGTACTCTCAGGCTGCAGTCCTAAACACGGTGGGAATTACCTTTGAGCAAACATGCACAGGATTACACTATTAAGATAAAACGGCGAAGTTTCATGCAGACAAAGACTGAAGTAAGTGAACATGCACATCATTCAGCTTATCTCATCTCACAGAGTTGTTGTGAGGGTAAAACGGGGGGGGGGGAGGACAATTTATTCCACCCCTGAGCTTTTTGAATGAAGGGCAAATGAAACTGACCTATGGAAAATGCAACTTGAAAAATGAGACATTGCGCATACCTTTGTAAACCAAGAAAACTTTCATTAAAATATTATAAATAAATAAATAAAAATAAAATGAATGAAACAGACAAATTGGGAAGCTAAATGGGTTAGACTTGCTAGGTGCAAAAAGATAATCAAATTGCACCAAAGATTGCTTGGAGTAAGAATGTATTGAATATATAAATATTGTGCTCTCCATCTTCAATTATCTAAAGGTTTGTCACGTGGACGATGGAGCAAGCTTGTTGTCTCCTGCTTTGGAAGGTAGGACTCAAACCAAGGGATTTAAATTACAAAGAAAGGAGATTCCAACTAAACATCAGGAAAAACTTTCTGATGGTAAGAGGTGTTTGACAATGGAACAAATATTCCTGAAAGATGGTGGACTCTTCTTTCTTGGAGGTTTTTAAGCAGAGGTTAGATGGGCATCTGTCATGGATGCTTTAGCTGAGATTCCTGCAATGCAGGTGGTTGGACTGTGTGACCCTCAAGGTCTCTTCCAACTCTACGATTCCATAATTCCTTTTGAACATGTAAACATTATCAATTACATGGATGTATCTCTAGCACTAATTACAACATGTGGGTCCCTCATAAGACAAAAAGCAGAAGTAAAGAAAAACCTGAACATCTTCATATTAGCAAGGCTAATCTCTGTCTCTTGTGTGTTTAATTATAAATAAAACAACTGGACTAAGGACATTTTCCTTTACTTCTGATTTCTGCCACCCACATGTTGATTTCAGCAAGGCATTCGACAAGGTGCCCCATGATATTCTTGTAAAGAAGCTGGTAAAATGCGGTCTTGACTATGCTACCACTCAGTGGATTTGTAACTGGCTGACTGACCGAACCCAAAGGGTGCTCATCAATGGTTCCTCTTCATCCTGAAGAAGAGTGACTAGTGGGGTGCCACAGGGTTCTGTCTTGGGCCCGGTCTTATTCAACATCTTTATCAACGACTTGGATGATGGACTCAAGGGCATCCTGATCAAATTTGCAGATGACACCAAACTGGGAGGGGTGGCTAACACCCCAGAGGACAGGATCACACTTCAAAACGACCTTGACAGATTAGAGAACTGGGCCAAAACAAACAAGATGAACTTTAACAGGGAGAAATGTAAAGTATTGCACTTGGGCAAAAAAAAAATGAGAGGCACAAATACAAGATGGGTGACACCTGGCTTGAGAGCAGTACATGTGAAAAGGATCTAGCAGTCTTGGTTGACCACAAACTTGACATGAGCCAACAGTGTGACGCGGCAGCTAAAAAAGCCAATGCAATTCTGGGCTGCATCAATAGGAGTATAGCATCTAGATCAAGGGAAGTAATAGTGCCACTGTATTCTGCTCTGGTCAGACCTCACCTGGAGTACTGTGTCCAGTTCTGGGCACCACAGTTCAAGAAGGACACTGACAAACTGGAACGTTTCCAGAGGAGGGCAACCAAAATGGTCAAAGGCCTGGAAACGATGCCTTATGAGGAACGGCTAAGGGAGCTGGGCATGTTTAGCCTAGAGAAGAGGAGGTTAAGGGGTGATATGATAGCCATGTTCAAATATATAAAAGGATGTCATATAGAGGAGGGAGAAAGGTTGTTTTCTGCTGCTCCAGAGAAGCGGACACGGAGCAATGGATCCAAACTACAAGAAAGAAGATTCCACCTAAACATTAGGAAGAACTTCCTGACAGTAAGAGCTGTTCGACAGTGGAATTTGCTGCCAAGGAGTGTGGTGGAGTCTCCTTCTTTGGAGGTCTTTAAGCAGAGGCTTGACAACCATATGTCAGGAGTGCTCTGGTGGTGTTTCCTGCTTGGCAGGGGGTTGGACTTGATGGCCCTTGTGGTCTATTCCAACTCTATGATTCTATGATTCTATGTACCGATTAATGCTAGAGAATCCCTTGCGCCAAATACAATCTCCACATAAGAACAAATCAGAAGATAAATCTTTGGCCACAATGATTGCAGATTTTATTATTCCACAACAACAAGAAGGAAAACAAGCTGTACACAGATCTCTGGACTGGAAGGCTAACCAATGGCAGATGGGTAAGAGCACATGCAAAATGAAAACAGAACAAAAATCAACACTAAACATGTCAGGCATTGTGAAGTCTAGCAATGAAATCCAACACTTTCACACAGCCCACCTCGACGGACTATCAGGGAGTAGCTCCTTAAGGATGAGAAAGTCTAAAAATATCAGATGTGTTATCATACATTGTGTCTTGCTTACTGAGTTGCCTCTCTGCACTAATTACAGGCTATCTTGCAGAAGCAACTTGGAAGTTTCTCTTCGACACTAGAGGAGCCCACGCCGCTTGTTTTCTCAGCTAATGGACGGGGTTTGCAAAGAGCCTCTTGGGACTCTGCAGGTCCGTTTTCTTTCTGCAACCCGCCTTTTGGCCCAACCACACCTAAGAAAGTACCTGTACTTGAACAGTAGCCATCGTTAGTGCTGTAGGTTTGTAGGGGGTCAGTCTTGGGGATGGTCAAGAGTTTCTTCTGAACCAGCGATCCTGTCACTGGGGAGGTTTAGAATCAAGTAGAAGAGGCCGCTGAACTGGTCAGACAACATAATGGCCTTGGCTGGACTGTTAAGCACCTGCAGGGCTAGATTAACCATTAAGCAAAATACGTGTGTGTTTAGGGCATCAAGGGAAGAGGGGCACCATGGGAAAGTCCCATTGCCGGATTTACCATGGACCAAATGGTGTCGCTGAACCAGGTTCCACACAAAAAAACCTCCAAAATAATTGAAAAAAATACATATATATGTATATACAATAAATAATAATAACAACATAGTAAAAATAGGGATTAATGGTTATTGAATGAAGATCTGATCAAACACTTTGCATTAGAAAACACAGGAGAATTTTTTTCTAATACAAATAAAGTGGAAGTATACAAAAATAAACATTGTTTTCCATATTACTGTAGGCTTCATTTCATTTCAAAAAATAAAAGTTAATTTTGCGGTTTTATCATTGTTTATGTTTTGAATTAGATATGTAAGGGGGCACCAAAACCTTTTAAGTGTCCAGGGCCTCTAAAGGTCCTAATCCGGCCCTGAAGCACCGTCATTTACATGTCCTAAGAGACTGCCATAGATACAAATGGGTGGGCCATTTCCCACCTCACCTGACTGCATGCCATGTCATCATAGGAAGGGGAGCGATAAGCCAGGGGAGTTGGTTCTGGTGGGTGAGTTTTATCTGAGGCTGGAAGCTGGAGAGACAGAGACAGGTCTTGCTCTGTGCGTGGGGCCCAAACTGGTCACTTTGGGTCTTCTCTGGAAACCTAATGGGGAAGCAAGATCTGTTGGACTGTTAATGCTATGAGTCCCTCCATCCTATGCTTAGGTTGTATATACATGTGCAAATAAAACCACACATCCTAAAGACACCAGTCTCCACTGACCTTCATTCCAAGGAAACCAAAACCTGGGTCAGGGCTGGAACGCCTGGAGTCTCTCACTTCTCAGAGATTGGGGTGTGTGCAATATTTCACAGGCTTTCCCATGGTGTTGGTGGAGCCTGCCATTCCCATGTGGTTCAGGCTTTCGGCCTGTGAATCCTGGGCATGCTGGCCCACCGTGGGCCCCAGAGGACTTTTCATATTTGGAACACTAGAAATTCTCTGGAAGAGGCCCAGCTTCTGCAGTGCTTCATCCCTAGGGGACCTCTGGCCTCCAGGAAATGGCAAGGGCTGCTTATCTGTTCCTGCAGCATCCTCTGTTGGCCCTCTGACAGCAGTGGAGCTGTCAAGGTGGTGGAGGAAGCGAGAGCGAAGCTCTTGGACGTTGACTCCTGACCTCATTATTGTGTCAAACTTCCTGAAGTAAGCAGGGTGAGATTCCGCCAATCTATGAGGCCCTCTGGCTTTGGGAGAAGAAGGGTTGGGCCTGTTCCTCCTCAGAGTGATGTCAGCTGATTCCTCCAAAAGGGACTTGGTCATTTTAATCTTGGAAAGGGCTGGGCGAGGAGAACTGGGCTTGGCTAAGGCTGCCTCCACAGACGTACTTTGAAGCATCCTGGAGTCAACACTGTCCTTGCATTGGTCCTCAGCACCTGCACACACAACCAATATGAGTGAGGAAAGTTGACTGCAGAAAGTCACGAATGCTTCAGCTGAGATTCCTGCACTGCTAGATCAACCTTGTGGATTCCTTCCAACGCCACAATTCTATGATTCTAAGGAAAGAGGTTGGAGGTTTCCTTAAGAACTCTCTCCCTTCCAGCCCAGCCAGATATGGTCCACCTCAACGTAATGGTTGTGGTAAATGTACCGTATTTTTCACTCTATAAGATGCACCACACCACAAGACGCACCTAGTTTTTGGAAGAGGAAAACAAGAAAAAAAATATTCTGAATGTCAGAAGCCAGAACAGCAAGAGGGATCGCTGCGCAGTGAAAGCAGCAATCCCTCTTGCTGTTCTGGCTTCTGGGATAGCTGCACAGTCTGCATTCGCTCCGTAAGATGCACACACATTTCCCCTTACTATTTAGGAGGGAAAAAGTGAGTCTTATAGAGCAAAAAATACGGTATTTGCTGCAGCTATGCAAATACTACACCAATGGTCCCCACAGTAAGCACATCAAGCATGAAGGCAGAAAGCAGTGGGGCGATGATGACTGGATTTCAGATCTAAAGCAGGATTCCCAAAACTGGTACCCTCCAAAAATTTGGGACTACAATTCACATCATCACTGCCCATTGCCACTTGACTTGCTGGGGATGATGGGAGTTGTAGTTCAAAACATGTGGAAGACACCAGGCTGAGGAAAGCTGATTTAATGGGGAAAGATCCATGTTTGGGGCCAAGTCTGTGTGACAGAGATACACCCATCTACTGTGTATGTGGGCTGAAGTTGGCAGTTGCCTGTGGCAGTTACCATTCTAAGTGCTAAGGATTAAAGATTAGGCATGGAATGCCAAAAACGTCATTCCCACTAGTTTGACTGGAAGGCAGAGTGCTACTGGGGGCCTAGGAGACAGTAGAGGAGCAGAAATATACCCCCTCACACAGGCAAGTGACAAAAAGGACTGTAGGCATCAGTGAGCATGGGATGTGGGACAGAGAAGTAAGAAAATGTTGATTTTAATGTGTTAAATGAAAATCACCAGCCAAATCACAGGAAGCCACATGAGAATGGACTTCGCTACACCTGCCAGCTGGCCTACGTGCTGTAGATCAGGGCTGGAGAGCCTTTGGTCCTCCAGATATTGCTGAACTACAGCTCCCATAATTCCTGGCCATTGGCTATGTTTGCTAGGGTTGATGGGAGTTGTAGTTCTACATTTCTAGAAGACGTCCACAAATCTTTGTTAACGGGTTTGATTTCATCTCACCTAGTGGTTCTGCCAGTTCCTGATGACTCTCTTCTTCCTCTTCTTCTTCTTCTTCATCATCATCTAAAAGGTCCTCATCCAAGGAGTCAATTGTCTGCAGCAAGTTCTCTAGACATTCCTTCTCTTCCGGGCTTAGCCCAGAGAAAAAATCTTCATCGTATTTTGAGGTGCCTTCAGAATGAGGAACAGGGCTCAACTAAAGGCAAAATAAGAAGCCAGGATGAGGAGGGGAAACATAACTTCTCAAAGCCAACAAACATACAGCTACTTTTCCAATTAACCAATGGCAGATCCATGCCATACATTTAAAGCACACCCAACACACATTTAAAGCACCTGACTTCTCCAAGAATCTTGGGAGCTGTAATTTGTTTTGGGTGATGGGAATTGTAGCTCTTGGGGGAAACTACAGTTCCCATGATTGGGGGGGGATCTGCTACAAGGCTGAGGAATATGGGAGGTAGCTGACAAGGGAAAACAATTTGGGAGAGGGGTAGCTGGGAATTAGTAACACTGAACAAGAAATGATTGTTAGCTCAAAGTCCTGAATCAGTACTGGGTGTGAGCTATTGATCATGGTGTACCTTTGTCTCTATTCAACTCTCTGCTGTAAACCTAAACTCATTTACTGATTCCACTGAGACTTTCAATGTACGGTTGTACCTTGGAAGTCGAATGGAATCAGTTCCGGAAGTCCATTCAACTTCCAAAACATTCGAAAACCAAAGCGCAGCTTCTGGTTGACTACAGGAAGCTCCTGCAGCCAATCAGAAGCTGCAAAAGCCCTGTTGAAGGTTCGGGTTCCAAAAGAACATTTGCAAACCGGAACAATCACTTCTGGGTCTGCGGTGTTTGGGAGCCAAAATGTCTGAATTCCAGGGCATTCGATATCCAAGGTGCAACTGTAAGGTAAAGGTAAAGGTACCCCTGCCCGTACGGGCCAGTCTTGCCAGACTCTAGGGTTGTGCGCTCATCTCACTCTATAGGCCAGGAGCCAGTGCTGTCCGCAGACACTTCCGGGTCACGTGGCCAGCGTGACATCGCTGCTCTGGCAAGCCAGCGCAGCACACGGAACACCGTTTACCTTCCCGCTGGTAAGCGGTCCCTATTTATCTACTTGCACACGAAGGTGCTTTCGAACTGCTAGGTTGGCAGGCGCTGGGACCGAACGACAGGAGCGCACCCCGCCGCAGGGATTCGAACCGCCGACCTTTCGATCGGCAAGTCCTAGGTGCTGAGGCTTTAACCCACAGCGCCACCTGCGTCCCATGCCACCTGCGTCCCATGCCACCTGCGGTGTTTGGGAGCCAAAATGTCTGAATTCCAGGGCATTCGATATCCAAGGTGCAACTGTAATAGGAGTGCAATTGCACCTTTGCACCCTGATCCTATGGTCTCATCAAGATGGCTATTGTTGTGTTTCAGGGATAGTCACAATCCCGGAATGATGAGCAGGATGTTAAGTCATCTGGTCACACCATTTTTGGTCTCGTATAATTGTACCACTGTAGATGCACAACTTAAGTATCTTATGCCAGGACTGCCATATTTCAAGAAGTGAAAATCTGGACACTTCCGATATGAGCTGCCACATTGCCTGGGTTTTCCCCGGCCATTTTAACTGATTTTTGAAAATTTCACCCAGATGCCATTTTCGACGGGTGAATCCCAGCTATGTCCAGATGTATGACAACCCTATCTTATGCCAGGGCAACACAACTCCCAGCATAAGGCACCAGTACAAGGGGGACACAGTGACTGGATCATCACCTTGTTGTGTGGGCTTGCATGTTCCTATGACCCTTGTGAGCAAAGCCATTGGGAATCTCGTACTCCCAGCAGGGTCACCCAAGACGGTAAGGCCAAAGGGAAGGAGCTAGACAAAGAATGATCCAAGAAGTCCTCAACGGCAGAACGGGCGGATGATAACAAGCAGTACAGTGGTACCTCGCAAGACGAATGCCTCGCAAGACAAAAAACCCGCTAGACGAAAGGGTTTTTTGCTTTTTGAGCTGCTTCGCAAGACAATTTTCCCTATGGGCTTGCTTCGCAAGACGGAAACGTCTTGCAAGTTTGTTTCCTTTTTCTTAACACCGTTAATACAGTTGCGACTTGAGTTCGAGCAGCAACTCATAGAACGCGGTGTGGTAGCCTTTTTTGAGGCTTGACATGAGCCAACAGTGTGACGCGGCAGCTAAAAAAGCCAATGCAATTCTGGGCTGCATCAATAGGAGTAAAGCATCTAGATCAAGGGAAGTAATAGTGCCACTGTATTCTGCTCTGGTCAGACCTCACCTGGAGTACTGTGTCCAGTTCTGGGCACCACAGTTCAAGAAGGACACTGACAAACTGGAACGTGTCCAGAGGAGGGCAACCAAAATGGTCAAAGGCCTGGAAACGATGCCTTATGAGGAACAGCTAAGGGAGCTGGGCATGTTTAGCCTAGAGAAGAGGAGGTTAAGGGGTGATATGATAGCCATGTTCAAATATATAAAAGGATGTCACATAGAGGAGGGAGAGGTTTTCTGCTGCTCCAGAGAAGCGGACACGGAGCAATGGATCCAAACTACAAGAAAGAAGATTCCGCCTAAACATTAGGAAGAACTTCCTGACAGTAAGAGCTGTTTGACAGTGGAATTTGCTGCCAAGGAGTGTGGTGGAGTCTCCTTCTTTGGAGGTCTTTAAGCAGAGGCTTGACAACCATATGTCAGGAGTGCTCTGATGGTGTTTCCTGCTTGGCAGGGGGTTGGACTCGATGGCCCTTGTGGTCTCTTCCAACTCTATGATTCTATGATTCTATGAGGTTTTTAAAGACTTTGGTGATTTTTGAAGCTTTTCCAAAGCTTTCCCGACACCGTGCTTCGCAAGACAAAAAAAATTGCAAGACGACAAAACTCGCGGAACGAATTAATTTCGTCTTGCGAGGCACCACTGTATGTTACAACGGCTGTGAAGGCGGATGAAGGCTGCAGCAGATAGGAATCTATCGGTTTGTCGTGACTATTTCACACCATCAGAACAGAGCCCTACTGCGAAGACTGTGCGTTGGTCAGCGTGCACTGATCTACACACATAAAACAAATTCACGCACAGGTGTCTTCCAAAGGCCCATGGCGATCGAAAAATGGTAAGAGGTGCAGGATCATGAAATCTGGAAGACCCTAGTCATGGACCGGCACATGGGCGGTGGATACAGATTCAGTCGTTCTGACTCAAGGAACGAGGCAATTCGGCAGCTGTATCCATGACTGAGAAGCCCCTTTTAGGATCCATTCTGCTCACCCCGAAAAGGGGGAAGGGCTAGAAAAGGTGCCCTAAACATAGTCTGCCTCCCTTTTTCCCTGACTGGATTATCAACTCCCGCCCGGAAACCAATGTCCCCACTATGCAAGGACGTGTGGATCCAGAATTGGCCTCCACAGTCACTTACGGACTCATTGTTAAAACCGTGTTTATGGAAGACAATCTTACTCGGCTACGACTGATCGCAGAAGAAGAAGAAGAAGAAGAGGCCTGTACAAGGCATATTAAGTGGAACCTTGGGTTGCGAACATGATCCGTGCGGGAGGCACGTTCGCAACCCGCAGCGCTGCGTCTGTGCATGCGCATGATGCGATTTGGCGCTTCTGCGCATGTGCAAAATGTGGTTTAGTGTTTCTACGCATGCGCGAACGCCGAAACCCAGAAGTAACCCGTTCCAGTACTTCCAGGTTTGGCATGTCCACAACCCGAAAACACACAACCTGCAGCGTTCGCAACCCGAGGTATGACTGTACATGCTCATGACTGTTAAGGAAAGTGAAAAAATGGTTAATTCTCCGCCAGTCTGCAGAAAGGGTGTTTCCCCCCTTCCACAGTACAGCTGCAGGCATCTTGTGACTGTCTTATCTGAGTCCCTGGACAAAATAGCACATAGCACTGGGTAGATAAGGACTCAAATTACAGCATTCATTGTTGTGGAGTACAGGATAATCTGTTGGGAGACTGGAAACTCTTGGAAAGATGTGAAAATGTGTAAGACTTTGAGAAGAGCTTGTCGGAGAGAAGATGGACGACTTGCAAGGCTTCTTGGACTCGAAGAACTCTTGGCAGTTGCAGGACTTTGTTAGCCACTGCATCCCATCAGATGTCAAAGAGATAAACAACTACCTGACATTCAGAAGACATCTTAAGGCAGCCCTGTTCAGGGAAGTTTTTAATATGTAACGCTGTACTGTTTTTAACACTTGATTGGGAGCCGCCCAGAGTGGCTGGGGAATCTCAGCCAGATGGGCGGGGTATAAATAATAAATAATAAATTATTATTATTATTATTATTATTATTATTATTATTATTATTTTGCACTTGCTATGCCGACTCTGTCTCAGCATGGACTTAATAAGCTGGCATCCTCTCCAGGCTCAAAAAGTGGAACTTCTTGTAGCAACTGTAAATAGTGTGCGTACATTGTGTGTGTGCTTGTGTATGCTAAGTAAAAGCTACCTCCGCTACACAATTGTTTCCTGCGGTGAGCCTGACAGCTCAGCTGAACATCTGTAGCGCATACACAACACCCAACAAAGTCCTGCACATCCATCAGAGAACACAAGACAAGAATCATAGGACACCCTGAACCCTGACACGCGCTTGTAATGATCATAATCAGAACAATTATAACGCTGTGGTAATTATAATAATTAGGCAACCGGAAGAAAATATGGCTATTTAGCAATAGCTCCATTAGGTAGGAGGAAACCTGTGTGGCAAACATTATTTGAGTCAATATGTCATTTCCAGGAGCAGCACTGTGGTGAACTGGTGTCAGGTTTTATAAAAAGCCATTGCTTTGGTTTGTCCTCTCCACTTCATTGTGTACATATAGTTATTTTAATTCTATCATTCAACCTCATCACCTATTTGTCAAGAGCAATTTTGTTACAGTGGTACCTCAGGTTAAGTACTTAATTCATTCCGGACGTCTGTTCTAAACCTGAAACTGTTCTTAACCTGAAGCACCACTTTAGCTAATGGGGCCTCCTGCTGCTGCCGCGCCACCGGAGCACAATTTCTGTTCTCATCCTGAAGCAAAGTTCTTAACCCGAGGTACTATTTCTGGGTTAGCGGAGTCTGTAACCTTAAGCGTATGTAACCTGAAGCGTATGTAACCCGAGGTACCACTGTATTTGGATGGTCTGTCCTATCCAGCTGCCTCTCCTTTCTCAGGCCTGCTTCTGGTGTGCATTTGGACTAGCAATGGCTGCCAAGAGAATTTGCTTGCAGGCCTGGACCCATTCACACTTCCAGCTTGGTTGACCAAACGTTTACATGCGGCATTATTGACGATAATAACAATTAATTGCGATTAATTCATCACCTTCCGTAAATAATCTCAAGGCGATGCACAATGTACAGCTGATATACACAAAATACAAAACCACATATGCTTTCGCATTAACTGTATATTTTCCTTCCCCGTAAAACAATCCAACATGGCTTGATAATGCTTCATAAAACCAAACAGCAACCCCCCCTACCTGGCTGGGAATGATGTCAGAGTTGGCACTTGGAGAAAGCGTCCCATGCATATAGCTCTCCTTTGCAGCCCACAGACAACACCCTTGCTCCTTGTACACTTGGAGGGTTGTGTGTCTGTGTGCAACCGGCTCATATCATATGAATCTGCCTTGTAATGCCAAACCGTTGGTTCAACCAACCCAGTGCGATAAACTCTGACTGGCAGAAGCTCTCTAAGACAGGTTCTTTGCCACTGAGCTTAAAAAATACAGACCATAAACAAGACTACTGCACTCCACTCCTAGCCTGCTTCTCCTTCCCATTTAGGCACATTGAGTCTCCGTACCTGGATGAATTTCCTTGCTAAACTGGCTAGTGCTTATGTAAGGTTTCAAGTATAAGGGGTCATTTTGCCCAAGTTAGTGGGTGCTATTTCATCCAATGCAGTTGTTTGCTCGGGACCCAATTCCTGCTCTAGGTCTCTGTGTGTAAACTCCAGCTCCTTTATCTGCAAAATGAGAGACACCACTTCCGCAAGTTTCTCCTGAGGAAGTTTTGAAACAGGCACTTTGCCCTCTGAAAAGCAGGTGGTGATTAATAATAGTCAGTCCACACGGAGCATTGATGAAACGAGGGTTTGACAAGCGAATGTGTGGGTTTTGCTCATACCTCAGGCGGTGTTTCCTTGTTCCTTTGCTCGGTGGTGAGCTGGAGGCTTGCGGCTAAATTGTCCGTGTCCATTTCCTGTCACCACCTTCATCCAATCTACATGTTATAGGAAAAGAACGGGAAGGTGGCCATTGAGCCAAAACTGTATCAAGGGGACTCATGGTCCACATTCACAACTATGATACCACTTTAAACAGTTGTGGCTTCCTGCAAAGAATTCTGGGAGTTGTAGTTTAAGGGTGCTCAGAGGAGACTCCTGTTCCCCTCCCAGAAGTGGTTTAACCAATCAATCCTTCTTCCCAGGCAGCTCTGACAACTGGATCTCTGAAAGGGGAATAGGAAGCTTCTAACAATTCTCAACACCCCTAATAAACTACAGTTCCCAAACTGTTTAAAGTGGTATGAAAGCCCTGCATGGCATGACGTTGAAGCAGACCCGATGAAATTAATTAACCTAAGTTGATTGTGTCTATTATATTCAGTGGGTCTAACGTCGGATGCAATCCCCAGTATTTATGTTTACCTTTTTTATTTTTATACAGGGATCCACAGAAAAGAAAAGGGGAGGCAGTGATGTGCAGTTAGTCATCGTCCTTTCAAGGCCAGGAGTGTGTGCACTCGGATAACTGGAGGGGAACCAAGTGTGTGGGAAGACAGAGATTAAAAGGAAGGTCTAAAAATATCCAGTTTCCAAAACAAAGTACTCCCAATTGTTTCACAGATCCTAGGACTCAAAGAAATCAGGCAGATTAATGCTGCTTATGCAAATATTCACCTGTATTTTTGGAAAGATTGTGGGGCTGTAGAATTGTTGTGGCACTGCTGGTTCCGCGGGGCTGGTTGTTTTAGTTTGTACGTAAGAGAATATGTGGTTCTTGGGGCATCTCTGTTGTGTTTTATAAATCTTGCTAGCTTCTTTGAGGATTCTAGCTGAAAAGTGGGGTTCAAAAACAACACGGCTGGCCTCGGCCCATAATACCTGAAGGGGCATCTCCACCCCCATCGTTCAGCCTGAACAATGAGGTCCAGTGCCAAGGGCCTTCTGGCGGTAGTGGCGCCCGCCCTGTGGAACGCCCTCCCATCAGATGTCAAAGAAATAAACAACTGTCTGACTTTCAGAAAACATCAGAAGGCAGCCCTGTTTAGGGAAGTTTTTAATGTCTGATATTTTATCGTGTTTTTAATATTCTGATGGAAGCCACCCAGAGTAAGTAATAAATGATTATGATTATAATTGTTAACAACTCTTCCACCATATTCTACAGGCTAGCCTTCATCAACCTGGACCCTTCCTAATGTTTTAGACTACAGTTTCCAGCATCCCCAGCCAATTCTGGGTCCCACATTCCTCCTATAGCCCCTCAGTTGGCATATCCGCAGTGCAGGATTCCACCCTTAATAATAATAAATAATAATGAATTTATTATTTATACCCCGCCCATCCGACTGAGTTTCCCTAGCCACTCTGGGCTGCTCCCAATCAAGTATTAAAAACAATACAGCATTAAATATTAAAAACTTCCCTGAACAGGGCTGCTTTCAGATGTCTTTTAAAAATAGGATGGTTGCTTATTTCCTTGACATCTGGTGGGAGGGAGTTCCACAGGGCAGGCGCCACTACCGAGAAGGCCCTCTGCCTGGTTCCCTGTAACTTCTCAGCTTCTCGCAGCGAGGGAACCGCTAGAAGGCCCTCGGAGGTGGACCTCAGTGTCCGAGCTGAATGGTGGGGTTGGAGACGCTTCTTCAGGTATACTGGACCGAGGCCATTTAGGGCTTTAAAGGTCAGCACCAACACTTTGAATTGTGCTCAGAAACATACTGGGAGCCAATGCAGATATATGGTCCCGGCGGCCACTCCCAGTCACCAGTCTAGCTGCCTCATTTTGGATTAGTTGTAGTTTCCAGGTCAAATTCAAAGCTGGCCCCACATAGAGCGCATTGCAGTAGTCCAAGCGGGAGATAACCAGAGCATGCACCACTCTGGCGAGACAGTCCGCGGGCAGGTAGGGTCTCAGCCTGCGTACCAGATGGAGCTGGTAGACAGCCCCCCTGGACACAGAATTGACCTGCGCCTCCATGGACAGCTGTGAGTCCCAAATGACTCCCAGGCTGCGCACCTGGTCCTTCAGGGGCACAGTTACCCCATTCAGGACCAGGGAGTCCTCCACACCCACTGCCCCCTGTCTTAGTTTTCCACAGAGGCTGGGCAGAAGCAGCAAGTATGTATGGAATCCCTGGAATCCCTGAAGCCTGCAGTGATTCCTTCTCAACCTGAAAATGAGCTGGTGCAAACAAACAAACAAACAAACAAACAAACAAACAAACAAACCAGAAGGCTCCAATACTCTCTCCCAAAGGAAACCAGTTCTGCAAAATCTCTCATCTACTGTGGTGGGTGGGTGCAGAGTCTGTGCACCAAAATTGTTGGCATCCGTCTGCCTCAAGAGAGAATAGATTGCGCCTCTGGGGGTGAAGTCAAACCGCTGCATTAGCAGCACTGAAGTGACTACCCCGGGGTGCAAGCCTGGGAGGCAATGTGTATGCAGGTCCTGGGCTGCTCAGATGACAAGATCCACCCCCCTTCTTGGCCTCACTGATGTGGTCCAAAGGAAAGGAAAGCAATACGTTTTTCACCAGCTTGGCTGCAATAGTTGCCGGAAGGAGGCGCACAAGGTGCCATCCAAACATCTTAGGGCAGGGGTCAGCAAACTTTTTCAGCAGGGGGCCGGTCCACTGTCCCTCAGACCTTGGGGGGGGCAGACTATATTTGGGGGGGAATGAACGGATTCCTATGCCCCACAAATAACCCAGCGATGTATTTTAAATAAAAGCACACATTCTACTCATGTAAAAACACCAGGCAGGCCCCACAAATAACCCAGAGATGCATTTTAAATAAAAAGACACATTCTACTCATGTAAAAACACACTGATTCCTGGTCCGTCCGCAGGCCGGATTTAGAAGGCGATTGGGCCAGATCCGGCCCTCGGGCCTTAGTTTGCCCACCCATGTCTTAGGGACTCTACTCCAGGTTTGTGTAGAGTTTACTCCTTAGCCTTTTCTTCTTCTGAAGATGTCCCACAAGGCAGCAGAGGTTTAAGATCAGAGTTTTCCTTCTCCTAGGTGGGCTACCTTCCCAGCTTGATGAGCCCTGTCTGCCCCTCACTTCCCTCTACAGCGCATGGGCAGAAACTGCCTTCTTGACCATTGGACCCACTATTGGTCTTGTCTGCTCAATCGGCCAGAGTCTGTCTTCGCATCCAAGGGAAGTCCCTAACTCACTGAGGGTTTGAGACCCATCAGCTACTCTCACCTGGGTTAGCAGGCCAGTCAAAGCCGTTCCCGAGGTGTGGCTGCTGCCACATGCTGATAGCTTCTAGGAGCCACAGGTGAGCGGTGCCTGGAAACCAGTGACACCCAGCAACATTGGACCTGCCTCATGTGTCCCAGAACACTGAAACTTTCTTACTTTGCTGATAGCTGCCAACCCTGCCTGCCAGCTCAGAGCCCAGTGAACTTCTCCTTTTTTATTTTATTCTTTTTTTTTTTTTGATCTGCCTATCTCGTTCCTGCCAGCAGGTGACATCCACTGATAAGCGTACAGTAATTTGTTTCCTTCTCACAACAGAGACACCCGTTATCTTTTTCCAGCGTTCCAAAGCAGCCACAATATTCCCAAAGCTGGTGTAGCTGGTGGGTGCTGCTTTGAAGAATATCTGTGCTGATCAGGTGCCACCGTTGCCATTGTTCCGTGAATGGCACCGGTATTTATCGCAGTGACTGTGAATTTCTAACCAAGCGCATCCTAGATACAAAGGGCAAGCAAAAATAAAATATGACTCAAAGCACCTATAAGCTAGGATTATGTGAAACAGGCACAAATATAAATCATTGGGGTCACCCCCCCCAAAGGTGCTTAAAATGAATAGATTCGTCATATGGCTTTTACAGAGCAATTATTTGTTTGGGCCACATTAATTGTGCTACCCAGTTTCTCTCTATCTAGTAATTACCACTATTGGCATGTGCCCCCCACTAGAAGGCTGCCCACAAGTACTAGGGGGGTGGGAGAGAGCTTTCCCACCCCTGGGCTATAGGATATGGTAGAAACTCTGCTGCGCTAGCAGAATGTGAGACTCGTGGCTGGCATAAGAGATACCCTGATAGAATATTCTAGAACATGCCAGTGCAACAAACAGAGAAAGAAAACAGAAAGTGTCTTTTAAGGCGGTGCTTGTCAGCTGCTGATTTTATAAATTCTAATAGATAGATAGATAGATTTAAAATCTGCTGCCCACTTCACTTGCATAGGAGCCAACTCCTAGAGGCCAAAGTCCCTTCGACCCTCCCCAATAAAATATTTAAGGAGGGCCCCTCCAAGTTGATGGGCATTGCTGTTCAAATGGTCTGTGTGTGCCGTGACTTGTAATTGATTAAGCGGGGGTGTGTGTGTGTGTGATATTTTATTCAAGTTGGCAGCGCTGTTCACTTGCAATCTAAGAACGTAAGATGAGGCCCCCTCGATTAATCAGGGGCATATTTTCAGTGAAGTAAATGCTTTTAACTTGATTAATCTAACCAACCAATGCTTCAACATTGCAGCCCTACTTAAATGCAAGATCTCCACGAGGCTTCGTCCCAGCGGTTGAGAACCTAAGAGGGGCCCCGCCATTCTAGCCCCCTGTTCTCACAGGAGCTTGTGGGAACCCCTCTAGCAAGACCTAAGCATAATAGCACCCTCCCCTCTTGTCAGGAGCATTATTACTCCCTCTCAGGGTGGAGGCAGAGCATAGCCATCAGGCCTAGCAGCCGCAGATAGCCTTATCCTCAATTAATTTACCCCATGGGTAGGCAAACTAAGGCCTGGGGGCCGGATCCGGCATAAATGCCTTCTAAATCCAGCTCACAAGTGGTCTGGGAATCAATGTATTTTTACATGAGTAGAATGTGTGCTTTTATTTA